TTTGCTAATGTAATTTGATGATTACAGGTAAAATCAGAAAAAAACTACAACTCATTTATGCTATTTAAAATGTACAACGGAGTATTAGGGTCAGGCTAGAGGTTTATTTATTTTTATTATTATTTTGAGAATAAAGTTGTAATATTATAAGAATAAAGTCATAAAATTATGAGAATAAAGTCTTAAATTACGAGAATAAATCTTAATATTACAAGAATTAAGTCCACAACCTGTTTCAAAAGGTATGACGGTACGAGTATTAGGGCCAGGTTTGAGATATTTTTGTTTTTTTATTTTGAGAATAAAGTCGTAAAATTACGAGAATAAAGTCACAACGAGAAATGCCATAAAATTACAAGAATGAAGTCGTAAAATTACGAGAATAAATCTTAATATTACGAGAATAAGGTCATAAAATTACACAAAAAAAGTCATAAAATTACGAGAGTAAAGTCCACAACCCGTTTCAAAAGGTACGACGGTATGAGTATTAGGGCCAGGTTAGAGATATTTTTGGTGTTTTATTTTGAGAATAAAGTCCTAAAATTATGAGAATAAAGTCACAATGAGAATAGCCATAAAATTACGAGAATGAAGTCGTAAAATTACAAGAATAAAGTCGTAACATTACGAGGATAAAGTCGTAAAATTACAAGACTAAAATTGCAATAAGAATAGTAAAAAATTACGAGATTAAAGTCTTAAAATTAAGAGAATAAAGTTGTAACATTACGAGAATAAAGTATTGAAATTAGGAGAGTAAAGTCGCAACGAGGATAGTCATAAAATTACAAGAATAAAGTCTTAAAATTACGAAAATAAAGCTGTCAAATTACGAGAATAAAGTTGAAATATTAAGAGATTAAAGTCCTAAAATTATGAGAAACAAGTTGTTTTTTATGACAACTCTTACAAGAAGCACTTTCTTCCCTAAAATGAGGAATGTGGAGCATTATGTGAAGTTATACTTTGGCTCTGGTTTGACAAATAAGAACATCTTTTAGCAGCGGCATCAAACTGGGCAGAAGGTCAAAGTGGACTGATTGGTGGAGCTGGTCGGTCATCATCTGCTTTCTTTCTGAAACAGGTTGTTTCTCGTAATGTTACGACTTTATTCTCAAAATAAATGTAAAAAAATCTCTAACCTGGCCCTAATACTTCATCGTATAAGCACACTTTTTTCAAGAATTTATTTTATTTGTTGTGAGATCAGTTTTTGCAGTGAACTAAAAACAAACAAGTTAGTTGTCGTGACGTTAAGATAAAAGAGAAAAGTACAGATTTGTTACGTTTATTGAATTTATACATGTTCTAATTGATCTAGATTTAAAAGACAAAAGAAGCTGAGAATA